TCTGTGTGACCACAAGGAGTTCTCAACATAGAATTAAATGTTCTATTATAATTACAGCCACAGAACTTAATGGGACTGAGGGAAGAAACCCATATTTCATGCCGGGGGATATGTCTGCCTGGGAGCCTCATTTGTTTTTGTTGTTCAGTTGCTCAGTCGTGTCCAGCTCTTTGCAACCCCATGGACTGAAGCACACCAGGCTTCTCTGTCCTTCACTACCTCCAGGAGTTTGCGTAAACTCATGTCCATTGAGTCTGTGATGTCATCCAACCTCTGCTGTCCCCTACTCCTCCTGCCCTCAGTCTTTTCCAGCATCAGGGTCTTTTGCAATGAGTCGACTCTTGGCCAAAGTATTGGAGCTTCAGCTTCACTATCAGTCCTTCCAATGAATAATCAGGGTTGATTTCCTTTAGGATTGACTGGTTTAATCTCCTTGCTGTCCAAGGGACCCTTAAGATTCTTCTCCAGCACCACAGTTCAAAAGCATCAATTCTTTGGCACTCAGCTGCTTTGGGCCTCATTTAACCTCATTTAATCCCTTCCAAGTCCTCTGGATAATATCCAGACCATCACCTCCTGTCCCCCTAGACCCCACCTTGAACACACAATTATTTACTAAACTGGATAACTATCTGCCAGGCTCTGCTCTCAGTATTGGGAGTCGTAGGTATCCTTGCATTCCTGATGCTTAACGTCTACTGGATAATCACATGTTTAATTTTCTTGATTCTAAAATTTTCTTGATTGTAAGATGCACCACCAATTTAAGAGTGGCCTTTTGGTGGTAGGAGGAAAGGAATAAGTGAAGAAGAAAGAAAGGAAGGAAGATAATTTATACTAAATGTACGTATTTGAGGTAAGAAGTTTCAGAAACATGGAAATTTGATAAACTTTGATATTTGGTGGTAAGAGGTGCTGAAAAATATGCCTATAGTTGCAAAAATGCAACTGATTCAGTAACAACATCCCCAAAGTTCAGTAGATGGGGCTTCATGAAAGTAGGTGTATTATGTTGCTTGGGCTGTCATAACAAAGTACAACAAAGTGGATGGCTTAAAAAAAGAGAAACGTATTGTCTCACATGTGTTTCTGGAGGTTGGAGGTCTGAGATCAAGGTGTCTGCAGAACCACGCTCCCCCTGAAAACTAGCAGAATCCTTCCTTCACTCTTCCTAGCTTCTGGTGGTTGCTGACGATATTTGACTTTCCTTGGTTTGTAGCTGTATAACCCCAGTCTCTGCCTTCGTCATCACATGGCACTCTCCCCGTGTCTGTATCTGTGTCCAACTTTCCTTCTTTTTGTAAGAACACCAGTCATATTGGATTAGGGTGTACTGGTGTACACCTACTCCAGTAGGACTTTATATTAACTGATTATGTCTGCAGTGACCCTGTTCCCAAGTAAGGTCATAGTCAGAGGTACTGCGGATTAGGATTTCAGCATATCTTTTTGGGGGGCTTCCCAGGTGGCTCAGTGGGTAAAGAATTCTCCTGCAATGCAGGAGATGCAGGAGATGTGGGTTCAGTTTCTGAACTGGGAAGGTCCCCTGGAGGAGGGCATGGCAATCCACACCAGTATTCCTATCTGGAGAATCCCCTGGACAAGAGGAGCCTAGCAGGCTACAATCTATAGGGTTGCAAAGAGTCAGACTTGAGTGAGCACACATGCATGTCTTTTTTGGAGAGATGGGGAACACAGTTCAATCCCCATAACCATAGGTAGCTACAGTACTCTGCTCTTATTTTGTTTGTGATGGTATCTCTCTGTTTCTATCTTCTCTGTTTATTTTTTAAAAATTTTATTTATTTATTTGACTGTGCCGAGTCTTTGTTGTGGTTACTCTCTAGCTGTGGCATGTGAGCTCAGCAGTTGGGGTACAAGGGCTTAGTTGCCCAGAGGCATGTAGGACCTTAGCTTCCTTACCAGGGGTCAAACCTGTGTCCCCTGCATTGGAGGGTAGATTCTTAACCACTGGACCACCAGGGAAGTCCTGTCTTCTCTCTTTACATGTCCCATTGCCTGAGTGTGGGCTTCTCTGGTTGTTCAAATGGTAAAGAATCTGCCTACAATGCAGAAGACCCAGGTTTGATCCCTGGATCAGGAAGATCCCCTGGAGAAGGAAATGGCTACTCACTCCAATATTCTTGCCTGGAGAATCCCGTGGACAGAGGAGCCTGGCGGGCTCACAGTCCACAGGGTCGCAAAGAGTCAGGCACAACTGAGCAAATAACACTTTCATGCTTCTCTTGCAGGAGTGTATTACAGGCCTGATATATCTTTTTATTTGCTATTTTGTGAAGTGCAGCTTTATCTTTAAGATTCCCATTGTATTTTTTCCTATGGCTGCTGTAACAAATTAGCAGGAACTTGGTGCCTTGAAACAACAAATTTATTAATAGTTCCAGTCAGAAGTCCAAAATGGGCCTCATGGGGCTAAAATCAAGGTGTCAGCGTGCTGTGTTCCTTCTGGAGGCCCTGGGGTAGAATCTGTTTCCTCATCTTCTCCAGATTCTAGAGGCTTCCTGTATGCCCTGGCTCACAGCCCCTTCCTCCATCTTCAAGTGCAGCATCCCAAACTCTGCCTCCTTCATCCCATCTCTTTTTTTCTAGCCTTCCCCCCTTCCTCTTATGGATAATCCAGACTGAACTCCACACCTCAGGATCCTTACTTAACTGCATTTGCTAAATCCCTTTGCCAGGTAAAGTGATATATTGACAGGTTCTGGGGATTAGGATGTGAGCATCTTGGAGGGGAGCATTACTCTGTTATCATGGGGGAAGATCCCCTGGAGAAGGGCATGGCAACCCACCATTGAGTCCATGGGGTCACAAAGAGCTGGGACATGACTGATCATGTTTGCATGGGGGCACCACACCCAGGATGAAAAAAAAAATTTTTTTTTTTACACATACTCAAAAGATTTCTCACTGGAGAGGCAGTTCTCTCATACAAAAGATGGGATTAGAATCAGAATCAATACCCAACTAGGAGTTGGGATCAGTTCAGTTCTGTTCATTCACTCAGTCATGTCTGACTCTTTGTGACCCCATGGACTGCAGCATGCCAGGCTTCCCTGTCCATCACCAACTCATGGAACTTACTCAAACTCATGTCCATCGAGTCAGTGATGCCATCCAACCATCTCATCCTCTGCCATCCCCTTCTTCTCCCACCTTCAGTCTTTCCCAGCATCAGGATCTCTTCCAGTGGATCAGTTCTTTGCATCAGGTGGCCAGAGTATTGGAGTTTCAGCTTCAGCATCAGTCCTTCCAATGAATATTCAGGACTGATCTCCTTTAGGATGGACTGGTTGGATCTCCTTGCAGTCCAAGGGACTCTCAAGAGTCTTCTCCAACACCACAGTTCAAAAGCATCAATTCTTCGGTGCTCAGATTTCTTTATAGTCGAACTCTCACATCCATACATGACTACTGGGAAAAACCACAGCTTTGACTAGACAGACCTGTAATTGTTAAGAGACTATGGATTGTGAACCAAGAATTGGAGCCTAAAGTCTAACAACAAAAAATTGCTTTCAGAGTAGGAAGGTCCTCAAACGGTTAGAACATCTGGCCCCCGTTGACCCTCCACTCAGCCACATCTTGCCTGTTCTCTCTTTAGGCGTTTCCCAACATGCCCAGTTCTTTCCATCCCTGTGGCTGCCCACCTGTCCACCTGTCCACTTCCTGTTGAGCCTCACCCGGATGACTCCAGTGTTCTCCTCACAGCTGTCTGCAGCGCCCCCAGCAGGCCAAGGGGTCTTTCTTAAGCACACATGCTCATGTTAGCTCCCTGCCAACAGTCTCCAACAGGGCTTCATTGCTGTCAGGATACTGTTCAAATTATAAGCATGGTCCCCAGACTCCCCTGTGATCTGGCTTCTATCCGAAGTCTTCTCTGCTGCCACCGTTCCTACCAGCAGGTGCTCCAGCGGACCCCTGTCTCCAGCCCCTCTGTCTTTTCCCATTGCTTTCTCTTCCAGAGACTATTGGGCCAGACTCTTCCTCTTCCAGGATGCCTTCCTGGACCCCCAGAGAGGTTCTGCCTATCACAACACAGACCCAGCTTGCTGTTAATTGCTCTTTTCAGTCTGTCCACCTTACTGGGCTTTAAGCTCCATGAGGGCAAGCCTTGTCTCTACCGCCTAGTTTAGTGCCTGACATATAGCAAACCCTCAACACACAGTCACTGAATATGAGACCAGTGAGTCCTGTTTTTAGCTAAGTGTGTGACTTAGAACAAGTTTTATTGAACCTCTAGGAACTTGAACTGCATAGAACTTGAACTGTCTAGAATAGTGTCTATTGAGATATGTTTTACATTCATCACCGGTATTTTCAGTTTTTTTCCTCATCTATCTATCTTCTATCTATCACTCTACCTATCTCTATCTCATCTATCTCTGTCCTCTCTCTCATCTATCAATCTATCTCTATCCATCCATCATTGAGAATCACGGGTGAATGGATTGTTTGAGAGGCAGCTTTAGAAGGAAAGAGTTCAGAAGTCAGAGAGACCTTGAACCTGGATTCTGCTATTTTGTTCTGTGTGACCTTGGGGTAGGTACTTAACCTATTTGAGCCTCACTTTACTCATCTGTAAAAATGATGATGCTTCTAGTACCAGCAGAGTTAAATGGAATGTGCATGTAAAAGGCAGAGCCAGAACAGAGTAGCTGCTTTAAAAATGGTAGCGATCCATATGTGCTGTGCTTAGTCGCTCAGCTGTGTCCAATTCTTTGTGAGTCTGTGGACTGCAGCCCGCCAGGCTCCTCTGTCCATGGGCATTCTCCAGGCAAGAATACTGGAGTGGGTTGCCATTCTCTCCTCCAGGGGATCTTCCCAACCCAGGGATCAAACCCAAGTCTCCCGCATTGCAGGCAAATTCTTTAGCAACTGAGCCACCAGGGAAGCCCAGAAACCCATCTAGCTGCTATTAAAGACATTCGACATGATAAAGTCCATTGCAAATACTTTTTAGAGACCTGTTGGTGGGCCCAGCAATGTGGTTCACTTCCTGTTACGCAGAACTCCATCTCTCCATCAGTTCCCTACTCCTCAGCACTTGTTCTGTTCCGGAAACTTGGCAGGTAGTCTGTGCAGTTATTTTCAGAGGAACGAGTGGGTAAAATCGGCAGCATTTCCCCCGGAGTGTCTGTGCCCGGGGTGTATGAGTTTATGGTGCATCTGCTTTGTGTATAAAAGCCTTGTCCTCCCCCAGCACCCCCTTTTCCCTCAGAAGCAGAGCAAGTGGGGACCCAGGCTCCTTCCTGTATTCCCATCGCCTACTAGGGGAGGGCTTACTGACCAGCCTGTGTGGTTGGAGGTAGGGAAACATTAAGGATGGCTTTGCTTCCAGGTTTCTGGGTGAGCAGAGGAAAGAGGTCACCGCTGTGGAGGGTCAGAGGCTTTGGAGAGGTTGAGAGCAGAACTCAGGAGATTCTTCCAACCTGCGATGATGATGAAAATGATAATGATGATGACATTGGACAATAATAAGGTGATGCTAGTGGTAAAGAACCCGCCTGCCAATGCAGGAGACTTAAGAGACTCAGGTTCCATTCCTGGGTTGGGAAGATCCCCTGGAGTAGGAAATAGCAACTCACTCTAGTATTTTTGCCTAGAGAATCCCATGGACAGAGGAGCCTGGCAGGCTACAGTGCATAGGGTCGCAAAGAGTCAGACATGCCTGAAGTGACTTGGCACAGCGCACAGCTCAGTGGGGCGGTGTGGTAGCCACTCCTATTGACTCAGCTCAGGATACCTGAGTGGGATCACTGTAGCGCATCATACACGGGTGGAGGAAGGGAGTGTCTTCCTTGCTGCCTTGCTAGGTGTGCAGAGGTTGCCCTGGGCCTTATGGTTGTCAGGTGCTGGGGAGGTGGTGCCCTTGCAGCATCTAAGCTTGGCGGGAAGGAAGACCTTGACCATGGGCAGATGCCTCTCCCGTCCTAAAGCATCATCTGAGGAGTGGTCAGCTGGAGAGCCTCCAGTCTAGCAGAGGTCATAGGCATCGAGGGGGGGGCTCCTCTCTTGACCACTCTGATATTGGTCCCACTCAAAACCGTGCTGGGTTCAGAGCCTCTGGTATTGGATCTCCTCTCTCCTCTCTGCCTCTCCCTCCTGCCCTGCCCCTTTCGCCTCCACACCCTAGTCCTGCCTGCCGCCTCCTTTCTCATAATAGCCTTTACCAGGTGATCCTAGTGGTAAAGAATCCTCCTGCCAGAGCAGGAGACACAAGAGATGTGAGTTCGATCCCCGGGTTGGGAAGATCTGCTGGAGAGGGGAATGGCAACCCACTCCAGTATCCTTGCCTGGAGAATTCCACGGACAGAGGAGCCTGGCAAGCTATAGTCCATGGGGTCACAAAGAATCAGACATGACTGAATGCCTGAGCACACACACATGGCAGATCAGGAGAATCCTGATCTGATAAGAGCAGAGCCCATATATTATTAGCCACAGGAAGTCAGTTCCTCTTTCTTTAAGTGCAGGAGGGTCTCAGTCTTCATAAAACACAAATCTTTTAATTTCTACTTTCTGTACGCCAGAGTTGAGCTTTTGTAATGAAACAAACAGGTTGAATCATCACCTGAAACTTTATTCTAGTCTCTTTCTTCATTTTGCAAGAGAGAAATCCAAGGCTCAGAGGGAGACTTATCTTGTCCAAGTTGTCAATAGGTCACTAACCAGCAGAGCCAGGATCTGAACATTGGCAGTCGGACACAAAGCCTTTGGTCTAATCGCTGCACTTTCCTGCTTCCTTTGTGGCCTTGGGCAAACATCAGCCTCTCTGAGCCAGTGGTTGGCCTACTACTGTGTGGAGATAAGGCTTGTCTTACAGGGCAGTAAGAATAGCAGTGGCTGTAGCAGTGATGAGGATGGGAAGGCTGAGCAGTGCGTACTGATGCCTACTTGCCCCCTTCTGAGCATATTGTGAGCTTTCCTGATGGCTTAGCAGTAAACAATCCACCTGCAATGCAGGAGAGACTTAAGAGACTCGGGTTTGATCCCTGGGTCAGGAAGATCCCCTGGAGGAGGGCATGGCAACCCACTACAGTGTTCTTGCCTGGAGAATCCCATGGACAGGGGAGCTTGGTGGGCTACAGTCCGTAGAATCGCATAGAGTTGGACATGACTGAAGTGACTTAGCATGCACACACAAGCATCTTTTATGTGCTAACACAACCGTCCTCTGCAAGGGAGCCCTGACTGCAGGATTATGGATGATGAGCACAGAACGCTTACAACAGTGCCCCACACAGTGGGCGCCATGGTGGATCTTCTTACTGTAATTATCAGTAGAGACATGATGTGAAACTGGCCTTGGGTCTGAGAGGCCTCGTGAAATCATGGCCTTAATCAACCCCAGCTCCTATGTTTTGGAAGCTTTTTGAGCATATTCTCTCCTGTTTGGTTGCTTCATTCTCCCAGCACCTTCCAAAACATAGGCATTCCCAGATAGTGAGCAGTGAGACATGATCTTTCTCTTCAAAGAATTCCACTTCTCCCCTTTGGCCACCATTCCCCTCCTGGTGCCGGGGAAGGGAGCCTCCGAGGACAGCATGAATCTGGGGCAGGGCCAAAGGACGACTGCTTCCTGGGTGCTTCTCGACAGAAGAACCGGGAGAAACGAACCCCCGGGACAGAAGGAGCAGCCCAAGCAGTCCAGCCTCTGGCGCCGGGTCCCGCAGCGGGATCACGCGGGGGCACCTGCCTCTTTCCCCGGGAGCTGCCGCGGCCCCCTGTGCCGAGGTGCCGGCCCCCTTCTGCAGGGGAGAAATCTGGCGTTGGGGAGGTGGCAGCCCACTGCTCCCTGGGAGCCAGCTGGCGCACTGGGACCAGCTACAGAACGGAGTTCTGTTCCCTCAGGCTCAGGTGGGAGGGAATCTGGGCCTCCGAAGGCGATGGGAATAATAATAGTGATGTTGACAAGGACAACGGTAACAGCAGCAGCGGCAGCGACCATTTAATGAGCTCAGACTGCTTGTCAGGCACTGTATGTTCAGGGTCGGATTTAACCCCTAAAACAGCCCCGCGAGGTGGGCCTGCTTCCCCCATTTTACAGATGGGGAAACAGAAGCTTACACGGCTTAACAGACCGCGCGCCGGAAATCAGACAGACGCCAAGTAGCCGCAGGTTCCACGGTGACAAACTGGGGTCCTCACTGTTCAACTCCGTGGGTGTAGAGGGTACAGAACCTACCCCCCTCCCCCCTCCCCTCTGCTGATATGTAGCAGCTGCTAAGACCATGAGCTCTGCTTCCTACCGCCCGGATCCAAATCAGGTTTCTCCCACTTTCTGGCTGTGTCACTCAGGGCGGTGTGCATCACTGAGCCTCAGTTTCCTCATTTGGAAAATGGGGGGCAGCAACAGTAATATTAATAACAGTGCCTCACTTGTAAATCATCATCGTGAGACTGAATGAGACCTTCCTTGCGGTTCTCCGTGTCTTGGAGCATTTCCGGGTTTCTCCGCCTTGACACTGTTAACATCTCAGACCGGATAGTTCTTCACTGTGGGGAGCGGGGCCGTCCTGTGCGCGTAGATGTCGCGCAGCATCTCTGGTCTCCACCCACTAGATGCCACTGGCGCCTTCCACTCCCAGCTGTGATAACTCACACCATCACAGACCCTGACGGGTGTCCACGGTCGGGGAAGAAATGCTCTCATTAGAGAATCACTGGCATTTACTAACATACAGCTTCCCAGGTGGCGCTAGTGGTAAAGAACCCACCTACCAAAGCAGGAAACATACAGAGATGCGGGTTTGATCCCTGGGTCTGGAACATCCCCTGGAGGAGGGCATGGCAATCGACTCCAGTATTCTTGCCTGGAAAATTACACAGGGTAGCCTGGCGGGCTACAGTCCATGGGGTTGCAAAGAGATGACTGAAACAACTTAGCGTGTGCGTGCACACACACACACATACACACACACACACACACACACACACACACTACATGATAGACATTTGATGATTATATTCTGACTGAACCACAGACCAGCAAAGCTGGTCTGCTGGAGAGGTCCTTAACTATTTTCAGAGCCACGGAAGCGGCTTCTTGAGGAAATTTGGAGTTGCTCCCTGGTTGGGAGTCTGAAGGGAAAACCCAGACAAAGAGCCATGTTTTCTCTTTGACAATAATAAGCAACTTTTGCTAACAGTTCCTTCGGAAGGCAACTATTTAAAAGTACCTGGGTCGTCTTCAGCACCATGATAATCCATGGAGACGTCCTTTAAAGTAGTTTGGGTCTCCTATCTTGTCCTTCAGTTGCTATGCTAAGTTGTGTCTGACTCTTTGTGACCCCATGGACTGCAGCACACCAGGCTTCCCTCTCCTTCACCATCTCCCGGAGTTTGCTCAAACTCATGTCCATTGAGTTGGTGAGGCTATCTAACCATCTCATCCTCTGTCTCCCCCTTTTCCTCCTGTCCTCAGTCTTTCCCAGAATCAGGGTGTTTTCCAATGAATCGACTCTTTGCATCAGGTGGCCAAAGTATTGGAGCTTCAGCTTCAGCATCAGTCCTTCCAATGAACATTTGGGATTGATTTCCTTTGGGGTTGACTGGTTTTAGGCAGCAATAAATGGACACCTCTTATATGCCAGACTCTTGTAATGTAAAGAGGACTGGCTAAAACTTAGTAGGCTCTTAAGCTGTGCCAAGCACTGCTAAGTTTCTTATGTGTGTTGTCACAGTTCATCCTATAGCACACCTATTATTATCCTCATCTTACAGTTGAGAAAAATGAGACACAGACAAGCTAAAGCATCTTGTCTATGATTACACAGCCAGCAAGTGATGGAACAGCAGTTTACACTCTGGTGGGTCTGCCTTCAGGGCCACCTTAATCATCTAAATTGGACAAAATGTCCTATTCTGAGGGAGCTGCCAGCCTGGAAGGGAAGCCAGACAATGGAGCAGAGGGGCAAGGATAAAGCAAACCCAGGATACGGTGGGGGCCCGGGGGTAGAGAGAAACACCTCAATCTCTGTGGTCCAGAGAAGCATCCTCTGACAGGCAGGCAGGGCTTCAGCCTCAGGAGGCCAGGTGATGAGTGGGACAAGAACATTCTAGCTGCAGAGACGGAAAGTCCAAAAGTCCCCAAGTCCAGAGACACGGCACAACACGACGTGTGTGGTGAACGGCAAACGTGCTGGAGCTGAGAGTGTGGGGCGGCAGGCGTTGGCAGATGAGATGGCCCAGCCAGAGGGCATCGAGTGGGGGAGCTAGAATATCAAAGGAGCCCGTTACTCTCTGAAAAATATCTGGGAATCAACTGGGTTTGCAGAAAGTGATTAAAGGAAAAGGAAAACAGGGACATGTTGGTTAGATGGAAAGGAAGAAAGAAGCCAACATTAAAAATGTTGACCAAAAAAATAGCACAGGGAGTATTATACTGAGTTCGCTGGGCATGAATGATCTAGATCACTGGGTCAAGGTTGCAGGATCACACAACTCCAGGGGGCGCCGCCACCCACATCACAGTCATTGGTGTCATCTGAGTGACACTTGTCCACCTGCACTTTCCACAGCAGAGGAACTGTTCTAGGTACCGTCCATTATGGAAGCCACTTACTGTGAAATGTGGCTCACGTGACTGAGAAAGTTGCCGTGTGAGTTGCTTTTTGTTTTAATGACATTTTAATTAATTAAAAGTTAACTTTCATTAGTGGCTTCCCTTTGGGCAGCACAGCACCAGTCTTGCACAGCCCTGCCTGTGTGGCTGTAACTCGTGGCTTTGATTTCTTTCTTTCTTGGGCAAACCACTTGCCTTTCAGAACACTGTTATTTTCCTTTCTGTCATCAGGAATGCTACAGTAAAACATGCGATGGAACAAATTAATAGGCATCTCAAAGATAATTAATGGTTTGAGTGATATAAAAAAAGCCCAAAGAAAACAACAAAATCAAACAAACAAACTCAAATGGCTGGCCATCCAGAAACAGGGCACGCTTGCTATCCATGGAACAAGGAGTGTTGTCTGGAAGGCCTTAGTAGAGGAGGAGGTGGTGGAGGAGTGGGAATCTGTCCCTTTCCACGAAGGATGACCTACTAAGTCATGGTCTCCAGCTCAGATCAGCTGCAAGCATTTGTCAACTAGGGTCGACTGTCAGAAATGAAATTAATGGCCCCAGTCCTTCATAATCTGTGATGTGTGGTTTTGTGTCCCCTCCCATGGAAGAAGTGGGATTGCTCCTTGATTTGGGGTTTGGTCAGGTGATTCTCTTTAGACATGTGTGATGCTTGCAGAGTACTTACATCATGCGACTCGCCATCTTGCACCTCTCTCTTCACCATGAGAAGAAGTCGCATGGGCCCTCAGCCCCCAGAGAGGATGAGAAGCAAGTGGGACAGATTGACTGCAGCTACCCAAGCCCAGCTCAGCCCAGAGCTACACAAGTGAATGCAGCCTGACACAGCCAACCCCAGACAACTCACAGGCTCTGTGAGCTAAATGAATGACTTTTGTCATATGTCACCAAGGTTTTGAAGTTTTTAGGTGACATAGTTTAACTGATATGTGGCTGTTAATTATTTGATTTGAAATACCCTCATTCTCCCTGAGTGTTTGAAATTCTAGTATTTAAAGGTCTATATTACCATTTTTTCCACTCTTTGACACTCAGGTTTGTCTTGCTGGCATTATAAGTTAAATGTTTCTTTTTGGATTTTAAGAGCAATACACATTCATTTCTGGAAATGGTATGAGAAGAAGAGATTTTTAAAATTATCTGGAATATCATCCTCCAGAGATAACCACTGTTAACATTTTACTGTATATCCTTTCAGATAGGCACAGGTACATGCATACCTATACATGCATATATAAACACACACACACACAAATACATGGCATAATATTATGTAAAGATCTGTGTTCTGCACTGTTTTATTTAGTTCAGCATTTAGATACATCAGCATTTCCCCATGTCCTTAAATACTTCCAGGAACACGATTCCTAGCAGCTGCATCTTAATATTCTATAGTGTGGTTGTATCATATTTTATTTAACCATTCCCTACTTTGAGACATTTCGATTCTTTGCAATTTTTCACTATTACAAATGATGCTGCAACGTTCATCTTTGTACATAAATCTTAGTGTTTTTCAATGATCGTTCCTTGAGGCTGTGTTCCTAGAAGTGAAATTCCTTGGTGAAAGGATCTGAACAATTTTGTAAGGAATTGCCAAGTTGTCTTCCAGAAAGGGCAATTTATAGCCCCACCAGTGGAATAGGAGAAGGGTCGGTATTCGTAATTTACAAGGGTGCGTTGGAGAAATTTCAAAGCAGACAGCTTGCAACTGAGAGCTCTTTGTGGCTTGCACATGCAGGGAGCCGGCCTGAATGTACAGGCCCCTTACGGCCCTAAGAGAGAACAAAGGGTCTCTCTTTGTCCTGCCACCCCTTCTTGTTAAAATATAGAATGGCATTTGTCCCCTTCAGGGAAAAAACACCCCGGTGACCTTTCGCCTGTTTTCCTGGTGCTGATAAACTCATCATGCTTGAAGCCTGTTTTCTATCTAGTTAATGTTCTGTTGATCTTAATCATGTTGGGCGCTAGGGTAATGCTTTACTGATCTTAAGTGGAGGAATTTAAAACATCTGTGCCTGTAGCTCTGCACATATGCAAACCTTTGATCTATTAGTAACTCCTGTTAGCATATATATAGGTGTGGTATTCTTCAATAAAGTAGTCGGAATCAGACTCAAGCTGACTCCGTCCCTCTCAACCCCATCTTTCTGAGTCTTATTTCCTAGGTACTCTGGTAATTGCATTCTTGACCAGTTCGTTTGCCGGCAGGCTCCGGCATGCACAGGGCCATCAACTTGGAATCACATGGAACCCCATTAAATGTGACATGGAGGGAACCCCAACACTCTTGACCCAATGGCCTCTAGCTGTGTGATTTCTGGCTGAGCTTGGTTAGTGCTGCTTGAGAAAGATAGATGCATCTGAATGTGTAAAGTGCAGGAATTTATGATTTTTTAGAGCTTAAAATCCTTTTTTAGGTGAAATATAGAATTTTGCTCTGATAATGGCAAAGTAAGTGCTGGTTGATCTGATCTTGACACAGATAACAAATTTAAGCTCTGGAGAACAATAAAAAACCCAACTGCCTGCAGGTTGAATGGTGTTGGTTAAAACCCCAATAGAAAACCTGCACCCAAAGACCCAGAAGAAGAGTTATGGACAATTGCTGTCACAGAAAAAGGGTCAGAGATGGGGAGCCTCAGATCTATGGGTAAATTCCACCCAAATCTCTGGCTGACTTTTGAAGCATCTTTGCACACAGCAAACCCTAAGCATCCCAGATGAGGCTAAAAGAGGTGAACTGAGAATTGAGCTGCTGCCCAACTGGTAGATTTTGCAATTTGGGTCCAACCAAGTTAATTACTTCCTAAGACAAATTTAAACGAAATCAACACTCTGTGGTGGGGGCGGGGAGGAGAGTGGGAAATAGAATAGAATCCAGAGTCTCCATAACATTCAAAACATTTAGGATACAATCCAAAAATTACTTGAAATGCACACATATAGGAAAATGTGACCCATTCTCAAAAGAAAAAACAATCCATTGGAAGTTGAGTCCAAGATGACCCAGATGTTGGAATTTGCAGACAAGAATTTTTAAAGTAACTGTTGTAACTATGCTCCATGATGTAAGGGGAAATCTGCTCAGGGTAAATGAAACAATACAAAATCCCAGCCAAAAATAGAAAGGATAAGAAAGAAACAAATGGAGATTCTAGATCTAAAACAAGCAATAGCCAAAATAAAACAAGCAAGCAAGGGGTTCACAGCAGAAGGTTAACAGAATAATGATGACAGAGGAAGGAGTCAGTGAATTTGGAAATTGATCACTAGCATTTTAAAATCTTAATTGATATACTTCCTCTTCATTTTCCATTCTCTCTCCATGCCTCTTCCACCCCCATCTAAACAGATGGATAAGCTATTTCCTAGGAGGAGGGAGAAAAATATATATGGTATAGTAAAGAAGAAATGGAGAAGGAGGCGGCAACCCATTTCTGGAGAGTGGCAACAACTCATTCTTGCCAGGAGAATCCCACGGACAGAGGAGCCTGGTGGGCCACAGTCACTGGTTTGCAAAAGAGTCAGACACGACTTAGTGACTGGACAACAAGAAAATGAAGAAGAAATCTACAAGTGCTTGACTTTAATGTTCAAATGTCTCAGCTTCTAGGATAATTAAGGTTCAGAAGAATTTCCAAGTGGTTGGAGTTTAAAAATAGTGAGTCTTTTCCCTAGATTGAGGGGAGGGAAGAGGAGAGAAGAGGGAAGCTAAATAGACATAATGGTGCATCCTAGATAAAGACCAGGGTAAAAAGAGGTAAGGAACGTCGTTCATTGTCATTTAAATGCCCCACACCACTCATCTCACGCTCCTTGTGTGGAGCTGGTCACATGGCCCCACTCAACCACAAAAACCCCAGGTGGTATTACCCCACCATCATCCAGGAAGGCAGAGGCTGAAAATATCTGGTGGAACAGTGCTGATGGTCACCACAGTAGGCATCTTGGGATCCAAATTTTCTCCCACTAGAGTTACTATAAATACACAAATAAGAAACACATAAATCTCCTTGCCCCAGAATCTCCTGACTTTCAAATATTTTCCATCTAATCATCTTTCCCCAACACAATCTGACTATTATCATGGGAGTAAACTAAGTAATTCAAAGTGACCCAGGTAGACCTAAACTTGTTTGGGCTTTGTTTGGGTCTCTCCTTCCAAGGCGAGTATGTCGCCTGATCTTGCCAGTCCAGACCCGGGGAGACCTGCACTTTATTAGGGTGGCTAACTCTTCCCTCTTTCTGTGTTGTTTTCCTTCTTGGCACATGGAAGGTTTCTCATAAGATTCTTCCCTTGTCTTAAGAGACCTTCGGAAAGCAAACCCACTCTCTCCTTCATCACTTAAAGAGGCAGATAGGACAGTAATTGTAGGGATCTGTCCAGCTGGCATGGAAAACAGGGGTGATGGAAAATCAAATCCTGTCTCCCTGCTTCTTTTACCCTCTCCCATGCTTTTTTTTCTAAATGCACACTGCAGGACATATGACTTCTGAAATGCACCAAGACTTACTGACTTTGCATATGCTCCTAGCTTTGCTGGGAATGTCCTTCTCCCATCTGTTCCACGTGGACTCCCACTGACTTATCCACCAACAAAGACAGAGTGAATACCTACTGTGCGCTAGGCAGCACCCTAGGAGTTGAGGATACAACCATGAAGAAGACGCAGTCCCTCACTCAGGAGCTGATAGTCTAGTGGGAGAAGCCGGGCATGAAACAGAATATCCAGAGAGCAAGTGCTAAGAATGATGAAAACAGGATGCTCGGAGAGAGAACTGATTGGGATGAGAGTGTGTCAAGAAGTGAATGCTTGGCTGAGCAAGAGGCATGTGAGCTGAAACCCGCACTGTTTACAAAATCCAAGACATAGAAGCAACCTAAATGTCCATCAACAGAGGAGTGGGCAAAGAGGTGGTACATACACATGATGGAATATTACTCAGCTATTAAAAAGAATGAAATGATGCCATCTGCAGCATCATGGGTGGGCCTAGAGATGGTCATACTGAGTGAAGTCAGTCAGATGGAGAAGGGAAATATAGTATGACATCCCTCAGACAAGACCAAGGAGAACTACCATATGACTTCCCTTATATAAAGAATGTAAAAAGAAATGATACAAACAAACTTATCTACAGAACAGAAACAGACGCACAGACTTAAAAAGCAAACTTATGGTTTCTGGGGGAAAGGATAGGGGAAGGGCTAGTTAGGGATTTGGAGATGGACATGAACACACTGCTGTATTTAAAATGGAAAACCAACAAGATCCTACTGTTCTACTATATAACACAGGGAACTCTGCTCCGTGTTATGTGGCAGCCTGGGTGGGAGGAAAGTTTGGGAGAACAGATACATGGATATGTATGGCTGAGACCCTTTGCTGTCCACTGGAAACTATCACAACATTGTTAATTGGCTATGCTCCAATATAAAATAAAAAGTTTAAAATACAGGCTTCCCAGGTGGAACTAGTGGTAAAGAATTCACCTGCCAATGCAGGAGATGTAAGAAAGGCGGGTTCAATCCCTGGGTTGGGAAGATCCCTGGAGCAGGAAGTGGCACCTCACTCTAATATTCTTGCTGGGAGAACCCCATGGACAGAGGAGCCTAGCAGGCTACAGTCCCTGGGGTCCCAAAGAGTCGGACACGACTGAGCCTCTGAGCACTTGGTGTCCAAATGCCAGTTGGAACTGCCTTGTCTCTTAGCAGCTCACTTTGTCACTCAACAAGTGTTTATTGAGCATCTGCTATGTGCTAGACTCTGTGGACACATCGTTAAATA